CCACAGACCCAAACCAAGAGCCCTGGGCATCTGAGGCCCAGCCTTGAGTGTCTGCCTCTGCCCCCAACTGCTTTGGGCATGGACTTCCAAACAGAGGCCATGAGGCCTCCGTCGCCAGAGGCAGGGCAGCAGAAAGGGTGACTGCTTGATCAGGGTCAGGGTCAGGGTCAGCTCAGTGGCAGTGGTCAGAGCTTTGGCTGGGTCTGTTCCGGCTTGGTCACAGACTCCTTCCATGGCTTTTCCCACCCCAAGCCTCAGTTTCCCCCATCTGTATGTGAAGGGATCCAACTAGGTGATCTCTACAGCCTGAGCAGCTTGGCATGCTCACTGAAAAGACGGTCAGTTCCAACCCTAACAACTGCAGATTCAGAGCAATGGCCTCCCCTGCTGCTCAGGCAGTGCTGTGAAGGGCTGGGTTTGGGATGAAGTAGAAAGGGCTTGAAGGGTCTGGGATAGCAATAGCACCAGCGCTGAAGGTCCTGCTTCCAAAATTAAATACTCCAGCCTAGAAGTCACACAGGTCACGATTCATTGGCTAGAACTAGTCACACAGCCCCACCTAATCACAAAGCATTCAGGAAGTGCAATCTTAACATATGTTCAGAAACAGGGAGAACCAGAAGGACTTAGGGAACAGCACCAGGGACACAACAGAGCTCGCCAGAGTGCCCACCATGAGAGCATCCAGTACTGCGCCAGTGCCAGCTGGAGGGCCCTCTAGGTGCACTGGAAGCACAAATTGAACTGCAACAGCTAAATGACCTTAACACCTCACCCCTGTGCACCCCAGATCCCAATTAACCAGAGTGGGGGCAGAAAGGGCCCTTAGCCCTTTCTCTGCTTGGGGTGGAAACTCTGGAAGTAGTTTTGTCTTCCAGGGGCAGCTCTGCCAACCAGGACCGGATAAGGATCATTCATTGGCAATTAGCACTTGGAAGCTCAGCCCCTGGGCAGGCATTCCTTTTGTTGAACCTAGTGTGCCAAGCCAAGGAGTTTACCTTCTGGAAAGACACACAAAACACACCCTGCCTCCTCCTGTGCTGTTGACAGTTGAGCTGTGTAAGTGCTAATTACAGAAGCTTTTCTGCAGGGCCCTGAGGACAGTCTATACTCCGAGCTCCTAGGAGATTCTTGGAGAGTCTAGCTGTTGCTGGAGCTCAGTCTTCAAGCATTCAGCAAATCTAGTACTGTGCTAAGGTGAGAGCCCAGGCTGTGGGGTCAGAACAGTAGGTTTCAAGTCCTGGCACCACCCCTGGTAGTCTGTGGTCTTGGATGAGTTTAATCTTTCTGTGCCTCAATATCCTCATCTACTAAATGGGGATATAACAGTAATACTCGATCTCATGTTATTGAAAGTGCTCAGCATATCGCCATTGAATTAGCAATCTGAAAGTGCTCATTTCAGATTTTCACTTAGACTTGCTTCTGGCTAACTTGAATAGGACCAACTCACTCACTGAGGATAACTAAAAATGTGGGATTAAATATATAAGAACTCTGTTTTAGGACATGGAAGAGCTACCAAGGCAGTAAGAACTTGAGGGGCCAAAATCTTGAAGAGAAAATCTTGAATGTGGTTTCATTTTTTTCCCTTAGGCATCATGCAGTTTGTAGGGGGCAGTAACCATGGCATGGAGTTGGGAAGTTAAAATCAGAATGTAGGGCTTAAAAAGAACAGAGGCCTTGTTTAAAAAAAAAAAAAAACAAACAAACACCTCAGCTTTTAGTTGGGGAGCCCAAAGGGCTATCCCCTGAGAGTACTTGTTAGCCACATATAAACCAGACTCAGAAAGACGGAAGCACAGCTCCCAGACTGAGCTGGGCCGGGGGGTGGGGGTGGGGGGGTGCTGTCCCTTCTTTAGCTGCCTGTCAGCAGCAAAAGTAAATCTTCTCTTGAGGAAGATGACATCATCCAGAGCCACAGTACAATGTTGGACATTTAATAAAAAATTATCTGGCATTCCAAGAGATAAGACTAAACAACCCAAACCAAGGGCAATAAAACAAGCAATAGAAACAAGAGTTCTCAAACATGGACTTTAAAGTGTTTACTACATTCCAGAAAATAAATAAGAAGAGAGAGTCAACAAAAAAAAAGGAATCATTGAAAAATAATCAAGTGGCAATTCTAGAACCAAAAAATTAACAACTGAAATTAAGAACTGAATAGATGAATTTTACGGCAGAGAAGGCACAAGAGAGGATTAGTGAACTGTATGATAGATTAGCAGAAAAATAACCAGACAGAAACAGAGAGAGGATAAAAAGGCTAGAAAACACAGAAGAGAGTGTGAGAGACCTGCAGGATTATGTCAAATGGTTGAACGTGTATACAATTAGGGTCCCAGAAGGACAGGCGGGAGAGAATGGGGAAAAGATAATGGCTGCAAGTATTCCAAAACTGGAGTGGTGGGGGAATCAAGCCACAGATTACAGAAGCAACAGGAGACCTGAAAAGGACAACTACAAAGAAAAATCTCACCTCAGCACATCATAGTAAAACAGCTGAAACTCAAAGACAAAGAGTCTTCCCATAAGGGAAACAAAAAGAAATTCGACCCTCCAGCCACCTAAGGCTTCCCTGTCCCTTGTCCAGTGTCACCTTTCAGGAGTCTGTTGTGAGGTGAGGTGAAGGGCCAGACTCCGTCCGGGGCTGCCCCCATCAGCCTCAGACGGAGCCTTCCCCACAGGAGGGAAGGCTGGCTTTCGTCAGATAATGTTGGACATTTGTGACGTGGGGAGGAGCTTAAAAAGGACAGTGTGGGCAGGGGGTGGAGGGTGGTGGCAGATATTTGGGAATCGCACAGCCCCCCCTCAGGGCAACCGGAAGGTGTCAGGGTTTACAGCCACAACAACTCCAAGAGGATCAAATCCTTCTCTTTAAACTGAAGCAAGATTGCATAGACTGTGAGCCAGATTCTGTTCTCTGACTCCGGTCTTGGAATGTCTTGTTGTTTAGTCCAGCCACAGGAGCCCAGCTCCACTTCCCTCCTGAGCCTCCACTTCCACAGTTGTGAAATGTGGCTGCTAACAAGTATCAAGCTGTTGTACCATTCGGTGATGTCATGAGCACGAAGTGCTCTGCAACCTGGAAACTGCTGCACCCCTTTAGCAGCTACGATTTCTGCCCAGCAGAACCAACAGCTGCAGGTTATAGAGAGCAGACAGTACACGCGAATGTGGAGCTTCCGCAGGAATCTGTGGTCTGTAAATGCCTTCAAGGCTCAACACATGCTTTCTTTGCCAGGATTTGGGGATTTCTGGATTCCTGCCAGCTTAGTGTGACAGCCTGATGCTTCTTTCTGGCTGGAGTCCCCGTAGAATTGCCAACTCTCACTATGGAGCCAGGGAAGGGAGCCCTGGAGTCGTCAGATCTGGGCAGATGTGGAGTGCCCCCCACCACCCCAGACTCTCTTACCTGCTTGGGCCAGGCTAATTCAAACCTGTGTCCAGAGTGAGGACCTGAGCTGCCCCTCTCTGGCACCCACCCTCATTTTCACTCACAAGTCACTGAATTCTCTGCAACTCCACTGCATGCAGTCTTTGGACACTCACAAGGACAACTCAGGGCCTGTTCCTAGGGCACTTCCACCCAAGGGACAGACCAACTGTTCTGTTTGCAAACTAGACAAGATGGACCTCCCAGATCTGAGACCTTATAGCCCCCTCCTCTACCCATTACTGTGATGAATTCTCACTGTGTCCCAGGCTCTGTGCTAAGCACGTGATTCAGGCTGAAGCATTTAATTATTGCTACACCCTGTGGTAGGTTCTCTCGTTAGCCCCACATGGCAGGTGTTAACACTGAAACACGGACAGTTAGGCCATTCGTGCAGGTCGCGCTGTCACTCACCCTGCATGCTCTACTCCCGCCTGTGGCACCGTCTGCCTCTGCGCCTCTTGTTCTCACTTCTCACTCAGGGCCCTTTGGTGATATTTTTTCACAGTTCTAACAGCTCCACAGTTGTGACCTCATCCTTGAGGGCCTTCATACCTGTGCTTTCATGATCAATTCCTAGACTCTGATGACCTTCCCCTTGCTTCTGCATGCATTCCCAGAATTCTAGAATCCAGTGATAGACCCCAGGTACAACTATAGAATCCTAGAAAGGAATTCTAGTATCCAGTGCTCAGGCTTATGAGTCCAGGTTCAGCAGTGGAATCCTGGGTGTTGGGGGCGGGGATGCAGGGGTGGAGTGGATGTAGGATTCCCAGTCCACAAAGAACCTGGGGCCTTGAGTATGCTCCAGCCAAACCCAACCTATGGAGGGTCTGTCCCTTCTCACTGACCGTCTGAAATATCAGGTGCTCCTCACTCTCACTCAGTCACTCCAGGACCTCATCTGATTGTTCAGAAAAGTTAATGTCACTGCTATGCCTAGCAGGGCCTAAGAGGGGGCATGCATGCCAGGAGGCAGGTCCTTAGGTTCTGGTCCTGGATCTTGGGTAAATTGCTAGACCTCTATGTGGGTAAGGAGGGGCTATACCAGATGATTTATAAGGCCCTCTTGCACTGGGGAGAGGGCGAGAGTTGTCTAGATCCCAAGAGTGGCCACCTGCCCTCTAATTAGGATTACTAATAATGTTATCATTTCAGCACCTGGAAGCCATTCACTCAATTTAATTAGTCCAAGAAGTCTTCCCGGAGGAGACAGGGTGGAGGGACTGTGTCCGTCTGGAGGAGGGAGGGTGGGAGGATGGCAAGAGTAGCCAGAGGGACCCAGGGACTGGGTAGGAAAACAATGAGCAGACTCTTCCCATAGGGGTGGGTTGGGGTGGGTTGTTGATTCCCAGAGGCGGAGGCAGGGGGCTGGGCAAGATGACCTCTGCACTCCCAGGCACTGAATGTAGCCTGAACTGAATGGGATTGGAAGCTGAGATACCCTGCTGACCACTCCCTCTTGCTTTGTGCTCACAGGACCGCTGGGAGCTCGGCCGCAGACAGGGGATCTGGTCCGGACCGGCGGCAGGAAAGACCCTGATGAGTGCCCCGAGTCCCCAGACCGATGCCGCCCAAAGGGAAGTGCCAGGGACCCGGTTCGCGGGCGCCTGCGGTCCGCGCACAGAGCTGGCTGCCCGGCCTGCTGTCGCCGGCGCTATGCTGTGCCTGTGGTTTGTGCGTGCTGCTGGCGGGCGTGAACGTGACACTGGTGGGCACCTTCGCCTCTTTCCTGCCTAGGCACAATGTGCCGCTGATCGTAGGGCCGGCGCTGCTGGTGGTGGCATTCGGCTTCTTCGCGGCCTGCTGCGCGTGTAGCCGCCGGGTCCCCACCTCCCGCCCGCGCTCCGCGGCAGCCAAGGGCGCGGACCAGCGGGGAAGTGGCACCGGGCCCGTGGCGCTGGAAATGGAGAGCAGCGAGCGCACGGCTCAGGACACCACGGCCGTGCAGCTGAGCCCCGCCGCCTCAGGTGCTTCCTCCGGCCGCTCCAGCCCAAGCCCCTGCCCTTTCGCCCTGGACTCCCCCGCGCCTGCTGTGGCCTATGCACCGCGCACCAACGGGGTCCGGCTCAACCTGCCCCGGGAGCGCGAGGCCCCCTAGCGGCGCGGGCCCTCCCGGACCCGCCAAACCGGGGTCCTTTCGTTCAGTGCCATGTAAGAAAAAAGAAAGAGGAGGAGGAGAAAGAGAAGACAAGAAAAAGGAAATTTTCTTAAGGGTCAGGCGCTGGGCACAGGTAGCCTCATCTGTCCCATCTCTGGAACTTCTGGAGGGCAGAGTGTGCCCAAGCATGTCCCCACTGCCAGGAGTGAGCAGCTCCTTGGCCCTCCAGGTGGGGTCTGCTAGGCCCTACATTACTTCATTCCCCAGACTTGATGAAATGGGACCCCTGAACCTTGAGTCCTAACACTACCACCACCCACAGCTTTTGGGCACTATGAATGGGGCCACTCTGAGAGGGACCGACTACCAGAAAGGTCCACACCTCCAAGGGGTAGGATGAAGCAGGAGAAGGGGAGGAGTATCAGCCCCAGGTGTCTGCTGTCCTTGCACACTGTGAAAGGTCACCAGCTCCCCTCTGCTCCTCCCCGCCCTCCTTGTCTCCACCCCCATACCTTTTGGGATTAGTTGGGCAAGGTTGGGAGGGGGGGGCGTCTGTGATTTGAGCCAGGACAGTCCCTAAGGTACAGCTGAGTTGAGCACACTCCACGCTTTCTGCCTGAGTAGGTAGAACAGGGAGAGCAGAGGCTGGGGCCCCAGCAGGGGTGAGTGGTGAGGACCCCCTCACTGTGCATTCCCTCCGAGCCTCGGTTGTCAATAAAGCACCTTTGGAGCCAAGTCCTCTGTGGTGTGCAGCCCTGAAGGGAGGAGGGCCTAACTGCAGGGCCCTGGATTCTGGGGTCCTCCCATCCTCTTGGAGACCTAGAGGGGGGCCCCGGGGAAGAGGAGAGTGTGATGGTGAACAGAAGACCGAGTCTGGCATTGCCTGTGAATATCCATGGAAACAGGTGTGTCAGGCTGGGGCACTGGATGAATATATGAGTGTGTCTGGGTGAGATTGCCTGGCTACGTGCATGAAATGGGGAGTGTGAGTGACACTAACATCACACATGTATGTGGGAGCCTGTGGTGGTGGCAGCAGTTAAGGTCTGGATCACCCAGCAGGGATGGTGAGGAAAGAAGGGCTCCCAGGGCCATGCACATCCTAAACCTTTCTCCTGGCCTGGCTGGACTTGCAGGGTCTGAGCTTAGCCTGAGCTTAGCCCATCCTTCTGGGTGGGTGAGGGCATCTGGTGGAGGAATGGAGGCTGCTTTACAGGAAGAAACGAGGGAGCTGGGGTCTGGGGTGAAGGTGCTGCAACCCTGGGCCAGCCCCTCCTCTCACTGCAGGGACTGGGGCCAGCCATACCCAGTGATGGTGGCACACACCGCACCACCACCCCTTGTAGGCCACAACTGCCTGCCCATCCACCCTTGGCTTCCTCAGCCTCCCTTTCTCTTTCCAGAGTAGGCTTTGGTGCTCTTCTGTTTGGGCCCCGGCTCTTCCCGTCAGCCCTGCGGCTCTGTCTTCCTTCCTCTGACACCCTCTCTGCCTCTGCTTCTCCTGCTGTCTCCCCCTCTCATTGACCTAGAGAAGGATGAATCTGTCTCAGTAGGTGTTGAACAGGTCATCTCTATTAATTCACATGGGTCGATGGGCCCTAACCTTTGAAGCATCCAGCCCCTGGAGCTGATGACCTCTTCTCAGAGAACTCCCCCACTCCCGGCCACAATGTGTGTGTGTGTGCATGTGCGTGCATGCGAGCGTGCATGCGCAAGCAAGAAAGGCCTCCTCCCCAGGCTCCAGTCCTGTCTCTTCCAGTTCAGTGGTCTGCAGCCTCAGGCACCACCTTCTGCCTTGGTAGAGTAGGAGGTAAGGGGGGCCACTACTGATGCTGCTTTGGAGTGTGGTCTGGCTCACCCTTCCCCTACCTTCTTAGGAGGAGACGCCTCAGATTCTAGCCCTGGAATGCTAGGCCCAACCCAAACCTCTCCCCTACCTGTGGACAAAGGCCTGGAATTACACACCATCTTCCTCTTCTCCCCCCACAAGAAGACTTCCATGTCCTGTCTGGACTGCTGAGGAAGAAAGGTAAACAGGCAATTAGAATGCAAGGCCATAGGCTGTAGGCCACACGGAGATAGTGTGAGTGAATAGAATGGAAGTGGGGTGGTGGAGGAGGTGATGTTGGCTCCCTGGAGTCCCCCATCCACTGCCACCACCAGCTGAAGGTCATTTGTCTCATCTGCATTTCCTTCCTCTCCATAGGCACACCAGGAGATATTCTCTATACCCCAGAGCCCACTTTGCAATCAGCCACCCTAGGAACCCCCACCCCATTCTCTCCAGGCCTGTCCCACCAGGGGACTCTTCCCTTCACACTCCTTCAGGCCCCTCTGGGGGCAGCACAGCCAGTGCAAAAGCCCCAAAGGGAGAGTAAACTTGACCTCCATGTGTCAGGCCAAGAAAAAAAAGAGCTGTGGAGACACAGGTGGGAGATGAAGTTGGTGAGGGTGGGAAAGGAGCATGTTGCTCAGCCAATAAAGCTGAGTAAGCCAGGGAGAGGAGTTGGGATTTATTCCTGGCAAGATGGGAGCCACTGGAGGGTTTTAAGCAGGGAAGTGACATGATCTGATTTATGATTGTAAAGATCGCTCTGCCTGCTGTGTGGAAAATAAAGTGTTGAGGGGCAAGAGGAAAATGTGGTGGGTTAGTAGGTGACCGCAGTGAGATATGCTGGGGGCTGGGGCAGAGGGGTGGCTGTGAAGTGGACAGGTTCTACACCCCCTCTTTGAGGTCTCCCTGTTGCAGGAGTTTAAGGGCCGTGGAAGAGAAGAATCTCAGAGGAAGTTCTAGAATTTTGGTTTGAGCAGCTGCGCATGTGGTAAAAGAAAAGGAAGGGCTGTTGGAAGACAAAAGGTCTGTCAGCCCAGTGGAGCTTCCCACAGGAGATGGAGCCACACCCTGAATTCTGGAAAGAGAGTAGAGGGGATGCAGGTTTAGAAACCATCGGCACTGGGGTGGTGGCTAAGCTATGAGTCCAGACAAGGCACATGGGGAAAAGTGAAGACAGAACCCAGAGTCTAGACTAATCTAACCGCTGAGTCTAGTGGGGAGAAGGTACCCCAAGTTGCCCAGCTCTGAATCTCACCACCTTTCTGCTGGGGCCCGTGCCTTGCTGATGAGGCTTGTAGGCCAACAGTTGGGGATTAGGGAGAAGTGAGCAGAATAAGAGCTCCCAGACCTTGGGACTTGTGTCTTGTTCACTGCTATGCACTCGGAGCCTACCTGGCACAATGTGGATGCTCAGTAAATATGTGTGCAGTGAGTGAAAGATGTGAATCTTATCCCACAACTGAGGCTCCTGGCAAGTTCCCCCTAATAGAAGATTACCAAGAAATCCAATTCTGGGTAGGAAAGGAGAACAGCCCCCTTGTGTGTGGATATCCCCCTGGCCAGTTCCTGCTTTCTGCTTCTTTGTGAGGAGGTTGGCAGGCGCAGGAATGTAGAGCTAGCTAGATGGGCATTGATTGGCGGCATTGATTGACGTGCCTGAGGACCAGGCTCCCAAAAGCAGGCGAAGGCCAGACAGGTGAGCCAAGCCTGAGGAAATCGGCACTGCTAGGAAATGCCACTAGAGGGCAGCCTGGGTATGTGACAAGGGATAGAGACCAACCAGCCCAGGCAGCCTGCACAACTTGGCCTTTTCCTTTTCTCCGGTCCAGGCCCTGCAGGATGGGAGGAGCTAGGAGTAGGGTGTGCTTGTGGAGGGGGTGGGGGGAGGGTTAAGTCACCCAAATTTACTAAATGACACCTCCTGCCCTGGAACCTGACCTTATCACAGAGGGAACCCTGACCCTAGACATAGTCTTAGACTTTCTCAAGGTCACAGGTAAGTCCTGAGTCAGGTCACAGATTGAACTGCCTCCCAAGTCCATACTCAGTCCTGGCCTGAGCTTGATCCTGGTCACACTCTGAGCCCTGCCCCTGCCTGGTCCATACACTGGGCCTTGATCCTGATCTTAGACTGAGTTCTGACTCAGTCCAGAGCCCTGACCTTTACCCAAGGTTGAACCCTGAACTGGACACAGACTGAGAGCCTTGATGCTGGATACCTAATAAGCCCTATTTCGGTCACAAAGTGAACTGAGCCCTGACCCCGGATGAAGACTGGACTGTCATACTGGTCACAGGCTGAGCCTTAACACCTAAGACTTGCTCGCCCAGCACCCCACTGACTGAGGGGCCTTTTCCAAGGAGGCTCCCATGCCAGGCCAAGCTTCAGTGCCAAAAGGAAGGAACTCCTGGAGCCACTTTTGAGGGAGAGATAAGGCATTCTGGGTCTTTGAATGATCCAGAAACTCCTGGGTATTGAACCCCTAAGAGGCCAGGCAGAGAAAGGCTGGTTCCAGGCCGTCTAGGACAAGGGAGGAAGTACAGCCAGGCCTTCCCCAGGTCCTCCTGGGCTCTGGAGCAGGGCCCTCCTGCCTGCCAGTGTGTCTGGGAGCCTCTTCCACCTGCACTTCCAACTCCTGCGGAACCTTGGGCAAGTCCCTTCTGCTCACTGGGCAGTGCTCCACCCCTTGTTACCTTTCAGGGGAAATGTGAGGAGAAGGTGACCTGTGAAGAGAGTGGGACCAGGCCACCACGGTGTCTCTGTGTCCCCACCCTGTGTCCTGACCAGAGGAGAAGCCCCTTGCTCTGGGAGCTTACTCTGGCCAGTCACTCCAAACAGGCAGGCACAAGTGAATCGTGCTCAAGGTGGCTCCAGCCAAGCCTCAGCCCCAGGTGGGCAGCAGCCCGTGAGACAAGAGCACTGAGGCAGTGTGGGGCGGGAAGCAGAGGTCCTGGAGGTCTCTGTACATTCCTGGGGTCTGGTGTGTGTGAGGAGGGGGAGGTCCACAGAGACCCTATAGCCCCTCCCCAGCTCACCAACCAGTTCAGTTTTTGCCCCACCCAGGGTGCAGTCCCGGTGCCTTTTGCCTGCAGAGCCAAGCTGGCCTCTGCGGGGCCCACCGGCCTCAGGCTCACCTTGGGAAACACCCAGGGTGGGAGTGAGGGC